GGGTCTTTTAGAGTTTTCTCTAAACTATGTTTACCTAAGGGATGTAACATAAATCATAGTTTCCCTGCGTTATTCAGCAACCATGAATGTTAATTATAAAATTAATAAATAAACAAAACAAAATGTAAAAATGTTGTCAATTGTTGGTATATTTCATTGTTTACTATAAACTATATTTAGAAAGGAGGTGTATCGTAAATCATAAATGCCTGGGTTATTTAGTAACCACGAATTTTCATTATAAAATAAACAAATAAACACTTTCTTAAGTGTCACCCCTATATATTCATTTTGAGATACACAATGTCAGATGGAATCAGGTGTGATGTCTATTACACTTTACTATAAAGTACGCTTACAGGGGACGTCCAACATAAATTTTAGGTGCCTGTGTTGTTTAGCAACTATCATTGACGATTAAAGAAAATATACTTCGGATATATTCCTATATTCCTTTTGAGATACCATGTGAAAGATGGTGTTAGATGTGGGGTCTTTCATATTTTACTATAAAATATGTTTACGTAGAAGATCTAACATATATCATAGTTACCTGTATCCTTCAGCAACTATGAAATTTCATTACGAAATAAATAAATAAACTTTTCATCGAGTTTCCCCCCGATATATTCATTATGAAATACAATATAAAGACATTTAGTATTAGGCTATATACAAATTTAATTGGAAAGGTTTGCTATATTCCCAAGCCAAAAACAAAACATATTTCGATCCGGGCGGTCTAATATTAAAAGTAATCTCCGGAATAGAAAAACAAGTAATAAAACCTGCGACATTTCGGGAAGTATTTACATTCCGAAATACGATCTGGAAATTCCACTTCATCAAGTAAATGTAATTTTGCGACATTCCGACTGAACTTCCCGATAACAAAAGTTTCTAATTCGTGATTTACCCGGAATAATTTGTTTTCATTGAAACTTTACGGAACGAACAATCGATATACCGAGTGGACGGATCCCGACGGCTCCATCGAGGATCGACGGATTTTATTTAGATTGATCTTGTGCCATATCGGCGCTCGGCGTTACCATTTCCCGAATGAGTAAGACAAATTTACCCATTAGAGTGGCGCTCTACCCATATCGGGCGACCGTGTTAAAGAGACGTCGCCGTCACAATGAAAATCTACATAATAGACTGCCGTGAATAGTTCGATTTTTTTTTCGACGCAGGAAAGATAAATTTCGAGTTCCTCTGAAAAATTATTTTGTTTGAATTCAGAGAGAGGGAGCTTTCGAAACTCCTGAAAAATGCGTTTGCAAGAGATAGGGAATTGCTGTCGGTGTATCCCCACCACGATAGTAGGAAAGTCAGAATGATTATAATTTGAAAGCCCACCGTATTAATTATTATTGCAGGTAAGAAAGGTAGCAAGTCATGTTTACCCTCGCTCCGCTCGTGTCATATACACTCGTGAATCAAATGCCGTTTACTGCACTTGGTGCATAATATACTATTTCCAATCCCGCTTCAAAATTTGCTCATAATATCTTATCTCTTACTCTCTACCTCTTACTTTTTATAAACAAATGATTTTAAAAAAAATAAATGAACAGGTACGTTGCTACTACCAGCAAAGTTGTTAAATTGTTGTAATTACATTCCTATCTGCAAAGAAAGTGATTATGGCGCATCTAAATTAATCGCAGAGAATTGAAATGTTAATTTTTATTGGATATGGAGACAAAGCGAGAACTCAATATGAAGTTTTCAATTTATTTAACGCAAAATTGAGTGAAAACTTGTAGAAACAGGGCACGCAAAATATTGTCTGAGGCCGGGTCACCCAAAAACTAATGAGAACACAACATTAAATACTTTATTAGTTGAATATAATCGCCATCGTGCATCTCTTGCAGTAGCTTCAAATAATGATGTTCTCCAACGAACGGCTTTGAGCGTTTTAAAAGAAGAAAAGTATCATCTATACTAGATTACAATACTAGAGGAGCTCGACGAAGATGATTCCGAACGCAGACTACAATTTCACGAAGGTACGATGGAAATGTGCAACTTAAATCCACTTCTTGATCGTCAGATACTGTTGAATTGATGAAGCCACTTTTTCTTTAAATGATATTGTAAATAAACAAAATTGTAGGTATTGGAGTACAAATAATCCACAATTGCTGAGAGAAAATCTCACTGTAGGTGGATATTTAGAATTCCTACCTTGCAGTTTCTTTCCCAAATCACAATCAGCCTGATATATCAGATAGACGGATTTCGTTTCAACAGGATGGTGCTCCGCCGCATTTTTCTCCACAAGAGCGTGAATATTTCCCATATTTAAAATTAAAAGACTTTAAGAAAGGCTAGTTAATTAAAATATTCTGAGTAATGTTTCGGAAGACTTTTTCTAAATCAATTAGCTTATTGCTGGGCATTTTCAACAACTAATAAAATAATTCCTTTGACATGCCCTGTTTCTATAAATTTTCTTCCAATTTACTCACTGTTGACCTTGTAATAGTTCTCTCTGGATATTTTGCGTTAAACAAACAAGTTTTACTGGTACCATGTACTGATCTGTTCATTTCAAATTTATATTTATGTTTGTTATTTTTTGGTCATAAAAGGTTTGTGATAGGTATAGATTATGCTACATCCATTAGGCTTGAAGGTGGAAATGATGGATGGATGGAAATAAAAAGAACTTGTATCAACATCTAATTTTTTATGATTATTATGATAGATAAGTGCGAATATTTTTCTTGAAATTACATACCTGATTTTTAAATTAATTTGTTCTATTTTTTAGCCGTCCACTCTATATTAATAGGTTTGTTTAATTTGTTTTTACATTCCATGCACACGCCGTAAATGGAGAACTATTTGCTGTGGTGAATTATACAAACATATATAAATTTATATAAATACGTGTGTTTAATTTGCTTTTGCTAAATTGACCTATAACAGTATGTCCAAAACACGTCAGCCTTTAGATAGTTTCAACTTTTTTATGCCAGTAGGGTAATTCAAATTAAATACGTGACATACATTGTGACCAAAATGGAAAGCCTTTAAGAAGTCTCACTATTGTTATAAATGAAAGACTATTACCCTTTAAAATTATTTATATTTTTATAATATACAAGTTATTTCGAAAGTACTAAAAGTACCATGCACGACTAACTATAAATATTAGAGTCTCTTTGACTTTAGAAGCTTGAAATGCCTGAACTAATGATATTTAACGTTAGTATAATGTTGCTCATTAGTGCCATACAGAGTATTAAGCTTTAGTTCCCGAAATTTTTATTTCTCTATGGTTTAAGCAGTATTTGAAATATCGATAGGGAAATTTGGATTCGGCGTTTTTCGATATACACTCTCTACACAAAAAATCGGCCACTAAAACTTGCTCCAATTTCAAAATTGGTTTCCTCTGTATTTTCATCATTCATTTATTACAACATCGAATGTGTTCATTTCTCATCCATAGCCTATGACGAACTCTTTTAATTAAATGAAAATTAATTCATTAAATTATTAAAAGTAAATACGTGAAAAATTTTGCGTTTTATCGAAATAAATTTAGTGTACGAATTTTGATCTTAATCGGAATCCCTAACTCGAAAAACGACCGAATCCAAATGTTTATGTCCATATGTTAAAAGCCGCTTGAGCCATAAAGATATAACAATTTCGAAAACTAAATTTTAACACTCTCACTAACTAACTGATGATAGAGATGTTAACAGAATAGAAATGGAACTAGATCGCAATGGACTAGAAATAACTAAAGAAGAGGTCATCCAGACAATAAAAAGTGGAAAAGCTTCAGGGCTCGATGGGATTCCCACTAAAATTATTAAGTTGATAATAGAGGAAAACATACATAATCTAACAGATCTACATTACACCATATACAAGACAGGTATTATACACAGAGAATTCCAAAAAAAATAATGCAAGACAATGTAACGACTTCCTAACAATCAGTTTCATGTGTCACATATTAAAAATAATTTTGAAGCTGATACATAACAGAATAAACAAAAAATTAGAACAAGATATCAGCGTGACTCAATTCGGCTTTCATGATGGCTTAGGAACAAGAGAAGAAATCTTTGCACTGAACGTTATTATAGATATGAATCAAGAACTCTATGTTTCGTTCATTTATTACAACAAACTTTCGACAAGGTCCGACACGAACAACTGATAAGAATTCTTAAAGAAAAGAATTATTTAGACACCAGAGATATAAAAATCATCACATATCTTTATTTCAGTTAGAGAGCGATGGTGAAAGTGGAAGGAAGCAGAAAGCCGCAGCGATGTGAGACAGGGGTACGCAGATTTACGATTAAGTAAAGCGAAGTGAGGATTGTCCTTAAAGAAGACAAAATCCATGATAATATCCAAGACAGTACGAAACAACCACCAATAAACACGAAAAAGTTTACTGTTATTAATACTTAGGCATAATTATAAATAGTAATGATGACTGTTCTGTAGAAATCAAAACCAAAATAGGACTGGCAAGCACAACGTTTCTGAAAATGAAAAGAATGTTTTGTTGGATTTAAAAATGAGCAGGGTGGCTATGTGTTCTCGGTGCTGTTTCGGTTCAGAGGCATGGACTCTGAAAAAATTAGACATGAGAAAACTAATGGCATTCGAGATGTAGATATACCGCAAAATGCTAAGAGTAAAATGGACCGATACTGATACTGCAAGGGAAACTTCATATAAAAAGGAGTGTAGGAAGAAGACCCCAGTTATGGATGAGAAATCTACGAGACTGATTCGCGGATACGCATAGCCTTGAGGAATTGCCAACCTTCGCAACGAAGACGGCACCTGAAGAAGAAGAAGATCTCACTAACGAAAGATCTTTTACTAAGGCAAATTTGGTTTTATTTCATTATTTTCACTAGTCTATTGCATTGCATTTTGGCTTATTCACAATGGTCCACCCCGTATAAAAAAAACTTAAGTTATAACAGCATTGTCAATTGGTTACTCACCGATTACCGTCAGGTGAATAAAGTGACTCAAATGTGGCGTCGATGATACTTGACATTCGTAGACTCCTGAGTCCCTGTGCTGCGGATACTTAATTTGTAACGTCCAGTCTTCTGAATGTGGTTGGTGTATCGCCCGAAACCGCTGATCGCTGGTGTAAGTGTATCGACCGACGGTCAACAGATGCACGTCTCGATGCCTCACCCACGACACCTGAAGAGATATCTGTAATTAAATTAGTAGCCTAGGGCTGTGCTTGGTATGGAGTATTACTTGTGCATAGGATATTGAAGAAATTAAAAAGTTCTAAATATTATACAATCACCTCTGTATTTTAAATCATACCTAGGTAAAAATTCAGTACGATCGAGAAGTGGTCACTGTTGATCACCTAATTCAAGCTGCTGTGAGTTTCTTTCAAATTTTGATTTGGGGCCACCTTTTACTAAACGCGTTTTTATATTTCAGGGTCGCTCTCCCCAATCCTACCCAATACACCACTAAATTTTCAGGCCTAATTGAAAAATGCTTCCTGGTATAATATTCTTAGTATGGCGGATATTGATGATAAAATGGCTTTTCTCAATTTTACAATTTTAAAAATTTTTGATAAGCATACACCAGAATAATAATAATTAGAATTAGAATAATGAAAAGTTTAAAGAACCAAACAGTAAATAGGTTTCGTAGCATTGGAAATTTTGAATATCCTTGATTTTTTAATATGGCATAAATGCGCTATTTCATATATTTGGTGCTTTGAAACCACTTTGGGGGTTCAGTTTTAAAATTCAAAATTTTATGCAAATTTGCAAAAATGTATATTTGTTCAATATCACCATGAAGATCAAGAATCAAGAAATACTAGTGCAGATCAAAATTTCACTGACGACAGAATCATCGGATATTTTATTTTTTTATATTCAGCATTTGTTTGGATTATTTGAAACAAATTCGATTTATGAACTTTTAATATCTTTTGCCCTTCAGTTTGGTAACTACCTGTATGTATACCTCGGCCACCCTCACATAATATATTAGCAAGTGCAGAGTAGAATGCGAGCCAGCTTCAGTTAAGCTCCGAAGAAGACAACAGGATGATTTGCGAAACGTCAGCAAGTTTTGTAAATAGTTTTAAAATATCCTGTGGAAGTTTCTTTGAAAAATTACCTATATGAACTTCTAAATCAAAACAATCGTATTCCAACCCTTAGGCAAGTAATTATCAAAAATTAAATTTACCTTCTTAGAGGCAACAGGCAATGATACCCACCACTAACTTCGTTATTGTAGCAGAGTGACTTTTTAAAAACCTTGTTATTTATCACAGACTACTAACGTCTGCTTGGGAAATGTTTTATCCCGCAATGATTACTATTCTTTTTCCACCCTTCTCTGAGCAAAATATCAGTATAACAGAAAGAGACCTTAAGACCTTCCGGTCATTGTTAATTCAACTCTAAATTATTATAAAAAATAAACCAATAATAAAATAAAAAAGAAAAAACCCATATTAAAAATATATTTAAAAAAAATCAACAAAAGTCGACATTTATTATTAGTGATCTTCTATTGACCTTGGACCTTGGAATTGCTTTTATTACCACAATTAAGTTGGTCAGGAGTTTATATATTTTTTTGATAGTATGCTTAATTTCTGAAAAATATTTTTTAATAAACAGGTTACTTACTTAAATTTACTTGTTTTTGAAACTTAAAGATCGCAAGAAGCGCAAATTTTCATCCATTCAAAGGATGTCATTAAGAAAATACACATATTTTTTTTCCAAATGACGAAGCTATAACTACCGCACTTTTGCGTAAGCTGGCGCTTTTGGTTGTTTCGTACTTAGTTACAGGGTAGAGGCAGCAGTGCAATATTACATAGACCAGGAGTTCAACGGAAGCTTGGCGAGCGCTGGTCATATTTTTGTCTTACCCAATGTACAATATGAGCTACATTAATACGTCTAATCAAGATAAAATATTCCACTCTCATCGGTATTGCTTTATACTCCTCAAGTACTTTCGTCACCTCACTCTCTACGTGTAAAAGTTTTTTAGTTATCAATATAATATTGTCATTCTGGCCAAGGTCCACCTAAATCTTATCTAGAGTGGGTACTTCATTTTGTTAAAATAAGAAGAGTGAGCTCGTGCTAGATTTACACCTTTAATGTCTTCATCAAGCACTTTTACTGACCTTTTAGGACTTTGTGAGGTTCAACTTGACCAGTAGTTTTTTTATTTAGCAATAATTTAAACATAATGATGCATTAAACTACACAAATTGTACGTACAAATCTCCTGGATTTCTCCTGCCTCGGTGATGAATCCAGAAGATTTCTTAATTGTTGGTGTTAATAGTGGAAGTTTCTTTGAAAAAAGAATACACAAATCCTACTTATAAAGGCGCTACCATAAGTATTTTAATCTCACATTACAGTGTCATTCAATTTCCATTAATCTGTATTAAGGGAATAATGAGATAAGCGGTCAAAAATGTCAATAAACTCTATATTTGGTATCGGTGATGATGATTGTGAATAAACAGAATAAATATCCACGATAGAATGATTCTAATATACACCTGCGTTCTATTTGCTGTCTTCTTGTTTTTGTATCACAGCAAAGGGAACAAATGCGAATTCAATATATTACACGTACATTTGGGAATACAAAAGGCCCCCGGACGATCGGGACAAAAGTAAAGATTGATGATGAGAGGATTTTATATATATATAGTACCTTCGATAAACGCGAACTCTTCGGGATATAGAAGGCAAATAATTAATCGATTCCCGGTTCAGGTTATTTTCCGAAGTAAAAGTAAGTCATTTGCTCGGAGTGAAATTTTCGATATTTATTCTGCCGGGTCAGTCAATTGCATGAAACGTATAGAATTTTGCTCGACATTTGACAGGTGGGATCGTTATAAGTTGCTGATTCGGTTTCATCGTCGAAAGTTACGTGGAAAAAGCTTTTTAAAATTTTAAAAATAGGGAAGCTTCTACTTTGAACGAGAAACTTAATGTCACTGTACAGGATGGGCCAAATTGGACACTTTTAAAGGGATACTCCCCTTCCTAAAAGAGACGAAGACCGTGGTAGTTGGAGCTCTATTTTTCTAGTAGAAACATGGCACATGAATATCTCTTTCCGTTTCAGAGTTATAACCTATTTTTCGAAAATGTCCATTTAAAACAAAACTCTCTGTAACTTTTTTGGAGTGTTAAATTTGTTCAAAACAGTATATTTTTATTCGTTCTGATAGAGGTTGTCCTAGGCTTTTGAAAAATATATAGTTTTGTACAGATATTTCGAAAAATAAGGCTACAATTTAATTTTTGGGAATTTTATATCATTAAACAGTAAACCACGATTGGTTATGTGATATGTCATACCGAATCAAGTCTTGTATCTTATCTTGGCAAATAATTTCCTAAGGTTTTGTCTTATTGAGGCTGCATATCATTTATTTGAAAACTATCGACAATATGGCGCGAGCTGAGGTTTATTTCAACAGGTAAAACCATTGCCTTTTAATAACTTTTACTGTTTCTTAAAACCCAACTTTTACCATATACCTCCAGAACAAAGGCAGCCAAACGGCCAGTGTTTAATGAAATATTAGAAATAGTACTATGTAGTCAGTTAAGGAAGTACCTGGAGTCTAATGATGACATGTGATACAGGTTTCTTCGGGGCAAACACTTTTGATAATGGGTGTGTGCCCAAAATGGAAGGAAAATATTGACGTTCGCAATATTAATATAATACTTGATCTAGAATAGATTTTGAGTTATTTAACTAGATTGAGAGTGAACGGGATGTTAAACAAAGAGGTGTTCTGAGACCTTTTTTGAATGATGTGTGTTAAGTCCTGGAGGCTTCTTTTGACAGTATGTTCGCGGACGATACACTAATATGTTGCAGGAAAGGATAACTACGAATTTACAGATGAAATGAAGACTGAGCTTGAAATCTTATTTGACTGGTTGTGCTAAAATAGGCTAAAAACCTAATTTAAACTAAACCTACCTCACTATTTAAAAATCTTATGGGTTCCCCCTGCCACGGTTGTTGATGAATCGACCTGTTGGCTCTTTTAGAGCTTCGTTAAGTTCTGAAGAAGCCAACAGGTTGATTGACGTAACGTCGGCAAGTTCGATTCATCAGGCGAAAAAGGAAACCAGAAGATGGTAAATACTGTTATAGCCCGTGGAAAGTTCTCTGAAAAATGGGTGGTTAACATTGATAACATAAAATTTTTGAAGTTATTTTTAAATTTCTAAATCCTAAATTCTTGCTTGTCCGGGTGGACGAGGAGATAAGACAATGCGTATAATTTTGAGCTGCAACAAACATATATCTGTAAAAAATCAAGAGAGTCATTATGGTGTTAATTTAGAAAGCTGAACACAGACATCTACCGGTTTATCTAGTGAATTGTTTGAAAATGTTTTTCAGATCATCGTTTTTGAACATTGAAGTTGGCATTGAAAAATATATATCGTAGTTCGCGAGGCATTAGACTGATTTATTCAAATTTTAGTAACGCGTTAGTTTTGATGCGAAGTTTATTCTCCATATCCATTTGCGCATGTTCGCTTCTAGTAAACAACGCTATTTATGAGATATGTATTTCGATTAGCTAACTTAGTCCTGAAAGTAAAAGTGTGAAATTATAAATTGTATATACTGGCCAAATGCTAAACAAGCAAGTATTCGATTCTACCATATTCTAAATTCTAAAATCCGAATTTAATAAATGCTTTGGTGTATGTAAGTACTCCCATATGTCTGTGTAACTAAAAGGTGGGTTCAAACGATATTAGATAAACATAAATATAAACCACACAAAGTCAGCTTTATGCCAAACTTACAGAAACAGAAGACATAGTTTAATATGCTAGCGAAGGAGTGATAAAATTATTAGCCATTGGTTTGTCATGAACAGGTACAGTTTAGTTTATTTCTGGATACCTTTTTCTGGTTATGTGTTTTTATCATTGTTGGTTATATTTTGACACATTCGAGAATTTATTTTTTTGTGTCGTATTTTTTAAGCTAGCCATATTTTTTCATTAGCAGTGAATGAATTCTCGATTTCTCTTGACTTAGCAGCAATTTGTTTAGGCGAGATTTAAACAAAGTTAAAGAATTTACATTTTTGATTTCAATCGGTAGCTCACTGTGGATATTTGGGCTTAAATACAAAACGA